ACCATCTGTTCATCAGTGCTCTATTCATCAACACCAAGGGAGGATGTCAGATCTGGCTCAGCCACATGGCAACCATCCACGGCGTCCAGGTTTCAGACCTGCATAAGAAGGTCACCTGGGAGGATATGGCAAAGGAATGGTGGAAGCGGTTCATAGTGGATGACGCACCCGCGCTCGCCATGAACCGCATCTTCGCGATGGCTCAAGGGAGCACACCGACACGTGACTGGCTCACGGATTGGCAGAAGATCGTGGCCACCCCCGATCTGGACTTGCCATTTCCGCATCTGCGCCGTGAGTTCTACAACAGGTCATGCGCCGCTCTGAGCCTCGCACTTGGTGATCGCGAGTAGTACCACACTTTCGCAGAGATCATCAACAAGGCAAGAGAGATCATCAAGACCAACAGGTCAGCTGCACACGAGAAGTCAACATGGCAGCCGACCTATGTGGAGAAGGCACGAAGTGGTCCGTGACAGCAGCACTTCGCTGCAGTCCAGCAGGACAGTGGAGATAACCCAACAGCCACTCCAGCATCAAGTGACGGAGATCAGGTGGCTGCTGTCCAACCGCGAAGCAACAACAAGTCCCGCAACAATGGGAAGGCGAAATCCGCATCGCAGGCCGAAAATGGACAGCCAGTACAAGTTCCATGGGTCAAGTTCGGCTTGACCGAGGCGGAGTACAAAGTTCACGGCCGCTACGGCAGCTGCTATTGGTGCAACAGCACCAAGCACAAGACCTCCCTGTGCCAGGATCAGGGCAAGGAGGATGTGCGACCCCGCCTCAGCTCGGGAAACTGAGCTCCGCGGAAGGTGAGGCGACTCCACCTTCCACTCCGCCAGATTCGGCCGCCTTGCTAGCAGCCTCCTGTACATCTGGGGAGGACGCGAATGTTGCAAGTTCTCGTTACTCTTACGAGGACTATGCTGTCTACTTGGTTCCACCGCTGGACCAGCCGCTCCACGTGCAACAGTCCACCGCATGCACGGTTTCATCACCATCGGCAACCGATTCGGCACCTTCGCCGCAATCTATCGCCGGGGATTCGGCGTCATGGTCAAGACTTGATGAGCTCGACCCGTTGACGTTCACGGACTTCCAGTGGATGCCCGTTCCCTCGACTGGACGATTGCTGAAACTGCATTGCAACGTGCTCATGGCACAACTGCGGGATTACTTGCACACTTCAGTACCGACTCCGTTGATGGACGCCGGAGTAGAGGTTGTCGACCTTCACACCTACAGTGCGAAGATCGACCGCGAGTTCAAGACGCAACGGTACGACGACATCGACGCACCATTGCTATATGTACGCATTCAGATCGGAGAGGCGACCTGCARCGCTTTGATCGATTGCGGARGCACTCGCWACTATATGGGCCACAGATTTCCGGTGCGCAATGGCTTGGGGCCACGCGTTCGGAGGAAGTCGCAGCCCACGCAAGTCACGTTGGTCGACGGTCACACACACAAGTCAATCGACCGGTGCATTTGACCCCGTCCTCGTGTACTTCGCCCCGCATGTACCCGAGGCCGTGTCCTTCGACATTTTGGACACCAAGTTCGCAGATTTGCAAGCATCGGCACCGCTGATCTACGACGGCTACGAGCGACGAAGACCAGCTAAGGAAGCTTCGCAAACCTGCCCCTCCCACCCGGACTGTGGTCCCTCCCTCAGACAGACAGCTTCGCCCTCGCAGGTAAGCTCGGTCTTTCAAGTAGGGGGGGGTGTGGCATACTGCGTAGCCACACGGGCCCTGTAGGACCCGTCCCGGACATTCAGCCTAAAAGCCTAAAACTTAGGATCTACAGGCCTGCAGGCCCTACTCCATTTCAGCCTATTTCTGGGTCTTTCAGACCCAGAGTTTTTCCAGCTTGAAACGGAGGGCTATTCTTAGGCCCTGGGCTATTTTTAGGCCCTCATTTGTTTCGACCTGCCCTAAGATTCAAGCACGAAAACTGGGTTTCGGA